GCCGGACTATTCAAGTCTATAGTCAGGTTTATAGTCAAGTCTATAGTCAGGTTTATAGTCTGGGCTATAGTATAGTCTATAGTCTGGACTAAAGTCTAGTTTATAGTCTGAACTATAGTCTAGTCTAAAGTCTGGACTATCGTCTAGTCTTAAGTCTGTACTATTGTCTAGTCTATAGTCTAGTCTATAGTGTGAACTATAGTCTAGTCTATATTCTGGACTATAGTCTATAGTCTGGATAATAGTCTAGTCTATAGTCTGGACTATAATTTAGTCTATAGTCTGGACTATAGTCTAGTCTATAGTCTGGACTATAGTCTAGTCAATAGTCTGGACTATAGTCTAGTCAATAGTCTGGACTATAGTCTAGATTATAGTCTGGACTATAGTTTAGTCTGTAGTCTGGACTATAGTCTAGTCTATAGTCTGGACTATAGTCTAGTCTAGTCTATAGTCTGGACTATAGTCTGGGCTATAATCTGGTCTATGGTCTGAACTTAGTCTAGTCTATAATCAGGACTACAGTCTACTCTATTGTCTGGAATATAGTCTGGACTATAATCTAATCTCTAATCTAGTCTGTATTCTGAACCAAAGTCTAGTTCATATTATGGACTGTAGTCCATTCTATATTTCGGACTGCAGTCTAGACAGTTGTTTGGACAAAGGTCTAGTATTTAGAATAAAATTTTGGCTTCTCTAAAGTCTCCTCTTTAGTCTGGACTTTAGTCGCCTCAATAGTCTAGATTTTAGGCTGGCCTATAATCTAGTATATAGTCTGTTTTATAGTTTGGTCTTTAGTTTCCTTTGTTTAATTCGATCTTAAATGCTGTTCATATGTTCGCTAAAACAAGGCTTGTAATTTTTCCGTCGGCAGCTTGATATGTCAGAGCATATTTATGGTTCCCGAAAGGCGACTTTAAAACTAAAAATTAGAGCAATAGAACTTGTGATTATAAATTATAAAGACTGATCATATTTGTATGTATTAAAAGTAAAACCTCTGGAGATTGTGTGCATTGATATAGCATTATTTCGTACAAAGCAGAAAATTTTGATAGTACTTTCCGAAACCAAAGGGAAACTTTTATCTTTAATTCCTTATTTCTGTAGTAGTTACTTATTTCTTTAATGGCACAATTTCATTTGATTACACTCAGACATTTCATTCATCATATACCGTTTGTTTTTTTAATTACATTTAATTTTATTTATTCTGCTTTATTTTTGTAATTTTTTTTTTTTAATTCAACGTAGTATTTAAGTTTTATTTGTATAAAAATATATAAATTAAAATATTATTGTTTGTTTTATTTTTATTTAATTTTTTATTAGTATTTTACGAACAAAATTTTTGTTTTAGAAATCTATTAAAAAAGCTTATTTATTTCCAGGGTGGTGCAACAGTAATGGTTCGTAAATGACACTTTTTAAAGTTTTTTTTTTATTTTTAAAAAAGAACCACCCCTAAAAATTTTAAGATTATAAGTGCAAGTGCGTTTAATACTTCTTTTATAAACCATTTATATGACATGCGAAAAAAAAAATTGAAAGCAAAATTTTGCATTTTTATGTTAGTTTGTGGGGTCCTGATTTACAAAACTCTATTAAAATGGTTGAAGATCGGTACCTACACATATCAGAATTTTGATGAAATTATTTTCTAAAATTATCTAAACATTTTTTGAATAATTGTTAGAAATTTTATTAATTGTTTTAACTTCCATGAGTATCGACCTGTCAGGTACCTATTTTGATACTTCCTTCACTTCAAATATGATAAAATAAGGGAATTGATCAAGTTTGTTAATCGTTTTCAAGAGTTATGTACAAAATAAAATGTTTGTATTTTTATTACAATTAGACCCATTGTGCGCTGAAGATATATCTCCAAAAACTAGATTCTTTACCGACTTACTTCTCGCTTCTTAGCAAGCCCTTCTTTTGCTGCGCAAATTTCTTTTAAGCTATTTATTTTTTTAAATTTCTTTTGCTTTAATTTATTATGTAAACGTTAGCGAATTCACCAAAGATCTCATCAAACAGTGTAAATAAATTAAGAAAAAAAATATTTTTATTAGAAAATGTCTTAATATAACTACAATAGCTTAAGACCAAAATCATTTCAAGATTTATAACTCAATTTATAATTTTTTTAAAATTTTTCAGCAATGTTTTTGCAAATTAATTAGAACAACTTAATTACATGCAGTAGAAACGTGAACCACATCGAATCTTTTCAATGTATTCAGTCCTATCAGTTGAAGAACCTACTTCGTTCTGCCGTGTTCTTGAATATTTTCTAAAATTCTCTGTAAAAAGAACATTTTACAATAATTCTCTATAAAAAGAGAATTTGTCAAATTTTTCTAGAAAAAGAGAATTATGCGAAAATTCTCTATAACAAGGGAATATTTCGGAATTTTCCTATAAACACAGATTTTTTCGAAAATTCTCTGTCAAAAAAGAATTTTTCAAAAATTCTCTGTCAAAAAAGAACTTTTCGAAAATTCTCTATAAAAAGAGAATTTCTCGAAAATTATTTATAAAAAGAGAAATTTTCTAAAATTCTCTATAAAAAGGGAGTTTTTAAAAAATTCTCTACAAAAAGATAATTTTTCGAAAATTCTCTACAAAAAGAGAATTTTTCGAAAATTCTCTATAAAAAGAGAATCTTCGAAAATTCTTTATAAAAAGACAATTCTTCGAAAATTCTCTATAAAAATAGAATTCTTCGAAAATTCTCTATAAAAAGAGGATTTTTTGAAAATTCTCTGTAAAAAGAGAATTTTTCGATAATTCTTATAATAATATAAAAAACAGAATTTTTCGATAATTCTCTATAATAATATAAAAAAGAGAATTTTTCGAAAATTCTCTATAAAAAGAGAATTTCTCGAAAATTCTTTATAAAAAGAGAAATTTTCTAAAATTCTCTATAAAAAGAGAGTTTCTTAAAAATTCTCTACAAAAAGATAATTTTTCGAAAATTCTCTAGAAAAAGAGAATTTTTCGAAAATTCTTTATTAAAAAAAGTTTCGAAAATTCTCTATAAAAAGAGAATTTTTCGAAAAGTCTCTATAAAGAGAGAATTTTTCGAAAATTCTCTATAAAGAGAGAATTTTTCGAAAATTCTCTATAAAGAGAGAATTTTTCGAAAATTCTCTATAAAGAGAGAATTTTTCGAAAATTCTCTATAAAAAGAGAATTTTTCGAAAATACTCTATAAAAAAAGAATTTTTCGAAAATTCTCTATAAAAAGGGAATTTTTCGAAAATTCCTTATAAAAAGAGAATTCTTCGAAAATTCTCTTTAAAAGGAGAATTTTTCGAAAATTCTCTTTAAAAGGAGAATTTTTCGAAAATTCTCTTTAAAAGGAGAATTTTTCGAAAATTCTCTATAAAAAGAGAATTTTTCGAAAATTCCTTATAAAAAGAGAATTCTTCGAAAATTCTCTTTAAAAAGAGAATTCTTCGAAAATTCTCTTTAAAAAGAGAATTCTTCGAAAATTCTCTTTAAAAAGAGAATTTTTCGAAAATTCTCTATAAAAAGAGAATTTTTCGAAAATTCCTTATAAAAAGAGAATTCTTCGAAAATTCTCTTTAAAAAGAGAATTCTTTGAAACTATTCTTTAAAAAGAGAGTTCTTCCAAAATTCTCTTTAAAAAGAGAATTCTTCGAAAATTCTCTCTAAAATGAGAATTCTTCAAAAGAATTCTCTAAAAAGAGAATTCTTCGCAAATTCTCTATAAAAAGAGAATTCCTCGAAAATCTGCTATAAAAAGAGAATTTTTCGAAATTTCTCTATAAAAAGAGAATTTGTCGAAAATTTATGAAAAAAAAGTAGAATTTTTTAGGGAGAGAATTATTTAATTTTGTACATTTACTGGATCCACTTTGTATATTATACAACGTTCTCCAGTGTTTATATTTCAAACCTTCTTTCTATCTCGACATAACGTTTCTTGATCTTTGAAGTTTTAGAAGTTTTTTTGTTTAATATTTTTAACAAAAAAATTTATGATTTCCTTTAGTTACCTTAATTTCTTTTTTTTAATTTAATTAATTTATAATTTTCCATTTTTTCTTATAACTCCCCCCCTTTACATAATCGGCATTATTTTTGCAACACTTGTCATTAGAACGAATTGTAATAAACGAAACGAAGCAAAATAAATTTTAAACTTTAAAAACTATTTTTTTTTAATTTTGTTTTCTTTTTTTTAACTCGTACAATTTCGTAAAATAAAATTTAGATGACAAAATTTAACCATTTTGTTCTTTTTCTAAATTATTTCCTTTTTTCAATTCCAACAACACAAGAACTTCCATTAGTTTTGTTAATAGAAATATTTTCCGTTTTTCTTTTTACAGGGTCTCACCTTCTTTCTGACCTACTCAATATTTTCGGCGGTATTGGGTATGCTACAGTTCGGTTACAATACCGGTGTGATAAATGCGCCCGAAAAGAATATAGAGAATTTCATGAAGGATGTCTATAAGGATCGCTATGGTGAGGACATTAGCGAAGAGTTTATACAGCAACTGTATTCGGTGGCGGTTTCAATATTTGCCATTGGTGGTATGTTGGGCGGATTCAGTGGCGGTTGGATGGCAAATCGTTTTGGCAGGTGAGTATAAATGTTATAATATTTCTATAGAGGAAACTGTTATGTGTTGCTTTTGTTCAATTTCAGAAAGGGAGGTTTATTATTAAATAATGTTTTGGGTATAACCGGTGGCTGTTTAATGGGTTTTACTAAAGTTAGTCATTCCTATGAAATGTTATTCCTTGGCCGTTTTATAATTGGTGTTAATTGCGGTATGTCATGTCTTTTTTTGTGTTGATCATTATAATATTTGGCATCCATTCGTTTGCAGGTCTCAATACATCATTAGTGCCAATGTACATTTCCGAAATTGCTCCGCTCAATTTGAGAGGTGGCTTAGGTACCGTTAATCAATTGGCTGTGACAGTAGGTTTACTATTATCCCAGGTCTTGGGTATTGAACAAATTTTAGGAACTAATGATGGTTGGCCCATATTATTGGGTCTGGCCGTATGTCCTGCGGTCTTACAATTACTTTTACTGCCGGTATGTCCAGAATCTCCTAGATATCTGTTAATAACAAAGCAATGGGAAGAGGAAGCTAGAAAAGGTAACAAACTAAATATAGTTCAATCCAAGAGACAATATTTTATATGTATTTTAATATTTTTTCATGCAGCTCTCCGTCGTTTACGTGCCTCAAGTTCGGTCGATGAAGATATCGAAGAAATGCGTGCCGAAGAAAGAGCTCAACAATCGGAAAGTCATATCTCTACCATGGAGCTGATATGCTCGCCCACATTACGTGCCCCACTTATCATTGGCATTGTCATGCAACTGAGTCAACAGTTTAGTGGCATCAATGCGGTGTTTTACTATTCAACATCACTGTTCGTTAGTTCGGGTCTATCGGAAGAGAGTGCTAAGTTTGCTACAATAGGAATAGGTGCAATTATGGTGAGTAATTCGATCTTATAAACCATTGGGAATTATATGTTATGAAAAAAGAGATTTTTGAAAAAAAATTTTGAATGTTTTCTATCAAAAAGAGAAAGTTTTTTATAAAAAGGAGACATTTTTCGAAAACTCTCTATAAAAATAGAATTTTTCGAATATTCTATACAAAAAAGGAATTTTTCGATAACTCTCTATAAAAAGAGAATTTATCGAAAACTCTCCATAAAAGAGAATTTATCAAAAATTCTCTATAAAAAGGTAATTTATCGAGAATTCTCTATAAAAAGAGAATTTATCGAAAACTTTCTATAAAAAGAGAATTTATCGAAAACTTTCTATAAAAAGATAATTTATCGAAAACTTTCTATAAAAACATAATTTTTCCAAAATTCTCTAAAAGGGAAATTGTTCTGATTCAATATAAAAAGAGAATTTTTCGAAAATTCTCTATAAAAGGAGAATTTTTCGAAAACTCTCCATAAAGACAGATTTTATCGAAAACTCTCTATAAAGAGAGAATTTATTGAAAACTCTCCATAAAGAGAGAATTAATCGAAAATTCTCTATGAAAAGAAAATTTATCGGAAACTCTCTATAAAAAGAGAATTTATTGAAAATTTTCTATAAAAAGAGAATTTTTCGAAAACTTTCTATAAAGAGAATTTTTTGAAAAATCTCTATAAAAGAGAATTTTTTGGAAACTCTCTATAAAAAGAGAATTTTTTGAAAATTCTCTATAAAAAGGGAATTTACCGAAAACTCTCTATAAAAATAGAATTTATCGAAAACTCTCTATAACAACAGAATTTATCGAAAACTCTCTATAACAAGAGAATTTTTCGAAAATTCTCTATAAAAGGAAATTTTTCGAAAATTTTCTATAAAAAGAGAAGTTTTCGAAAATTCTCTATAAAAAGAGAAGTTTTCGAAAATTCTCTATGAAAAGAGAAATTTTCGAAAATTCTCTATAAAAAGAGAAGTTTTCGAAAATTCTCTATAAATGAGAATTTTTCGAAAATTCTCTATAAAAAGAGAATTTTTCGAAAATTCTCTACAAATGAGAATTTTTCGAAAACTCTCTATAAAAAGAGAATTTTTCGAAAAATTTATCGAAAATTCTCCATGAAAAGATTATTTATCGAAAATTTTCCATGAAAAGATTATTTATCGAAAATTCTCCATGAAAAGATTATTTATTGAAAACTCTCTTTCAAAAGAGAATTTATCGAAAACTCTCTTTAAAAAGAGAATTTATCCAAAACTCTCGATAAGAAGAGAATTTATCGAAAATTCTCTATAAAATATCGAAAACTCTCTATATAAAGAGAATTTATCGAAAATTCTCTCTAAAAGAAGAATTGTTCAAAAATTCTCTCTAAAAAGAGAGTTATTCAAAATTCTCTATGAAAGAGAATTTATGGAAAATTCTCTATGAAAGAGAATTTATGGAAAATTCTCTATGAAAGAGAATTTACTGAAAATTCTCTATGAAAGAGAATTTATTGAAAATTCTCAATGAAAGAGAATTTATGGAAAATTCTCTATGAAAGAGAATTTATGGAAAATTCTCTATGAAAACAGAATTTATCGAAAATTCTTTATAAAAAGGGAATTTATCAAAAATTCTCTATAAAAAGACAATTTATCGAAAATTCTCTATAAAAAGAGAATTTATCAAAAATTCTCTATAAAAACAGAATTTTTCGAAAACTCTCTATAAGAAGAGAATTTACCGAAAACTCTCTATAAAAAGAGAATTTATGGAAAATTCTCTATAAAAAAGAATTTTTCGAAAATTCTCTATAAAAAGAGAATTTATCGAAAACTCTCTATAAAAAAAGAATTTATCGAAAATTCTCTATGAAAGGAGAATTGTTCAAATATTCTCTAAAAAAGAGAATTTTTCGAAAATTCTCTTTAAAAGGAGAATTTTTCAAAAACTCTTTAAAAAAAGAGTATTATTCAAAAATTCTCTATGAAAAGAAATTTTTTTGAAATTCTCTATAAAAAGTGAATTATTAAAAAATTCTCTATATAAAAAGAGAATTTTTCGAAAATTCTCTATAAAACAGAATTGTTCGGAATTCTTTCTTAAATGAGAATTGTTCAAAAATTCTATATAAAAAGGGTTGTTCGAAAATTCTGTATAAAAAGAGAATTCTCTATTAAAAGAATTTATTTTGAAATTCTTTATAAATCATCTTCCCTTTTTCATTTCCCTTTCTCAGGTTGTTATGACTTTAGTTTCTATACCCCTTATGGATCGTACTGGTCGCCGTACATTACATCTGTATGGTTTGGGCGGCATGTTCATCTTTTCAATATTTATAACAATTTCATTTTTAATCAAGGCAAGTATTGAATTAAGATTTTTGTGTTTTTTTTTAAACAGAAATCTTAAAAAGGTTAAGTATAACATGATATTTTTAAAATATTTTTATATTGATAAATTTCTTTAAATGGTTTTTATGGTTTGTAATTTTTTTTTTTTCGTTTGAATTACATAAAAATGTTTATATTTTCATTGTAATTTGATTCCTTTTCGTTTCGTTTGGAAATACTATATCGAATATATATTATAATATCCCTGAAATAATATAAACTTTTATGCATGAAGTTGTTTAAAGAAAAATTAAAAAAAAAAACAAAATTTAGTTAAAAATATATAACAATTTAATTTAATAATATATTTTTTTCTCATATTTATAAAGTTTATTATTTTATTAAATTTTAATTAAAGCATTTTAAAGAAATTTTTGTGAAATCATATTTTACTTAAATATTAATAACGAGTATGTGTACAAAAGGATAGTTATTGTTAACTAGTACAATAACTAGTGAATGGTGGTGAAATATTGATATTTAAAAATAAAAAAAAAATAAATACTCGTTTTAAATCTGTTTTATTTTTCAATATTTTATTTCTTATGATTCAAGCATGCTTTTTGCACGCCAATTACACATTTTTGTTTTTTTTTTTTTTTTAATATAATTTCATTTACATTTTTGTAAATATTTTAATTGAATTTTTATTTGATTTTCCCCCCAAAAAAAATATGCCTGTTTTTAGTAAAAAAAAACTTCTTTTAATTTAAATTTAAATTTAAGTAAAGATTTGATTTTTTTGCATGTCATTGATGATACCTTTGTGTATTTGTTTTTTTCTTTTCGTTTTCATACGTTATATAATTAAATGTATTTATTAGTTATTTAGGTTAAGTTATATTGAATAAATGAGTTTTGAACAAACATTTTAACAAAAAATATTTAAAATCAATCCGAAATTTCAAAAGAAAACTAAAATTTATTTTCATCTGTAGTCCAGACTATAGACTAGACTATAGGATAGACTATACCAGACTAAAGAGATCATAAACTAGACCATAGCTCAGCCTATAGATTATAATATAGTTCACACTATAGACTAGACTGTAGCTTAGACTATAGTCCAGACTAATGACCAAACTAAAGACTTGGCTATAGACCAAACTATAGGCTATAGTTTAGTTAATAGTTCAGACTATAGTCTAGCGTATAGTCAAAACTGTAGACTAGAATATAGTCATTACTATAGACTAAACAATAGTTCAGACTAAAGTCCAGACTATTGATCAGACTATATATAAAACTATAGTCGAGACAAAAGACCAGACTATAGTCTGACTATGGAGTAGACTATGGTGCAGATTATAGTTCAGACTACAGATTAGATTACAGACTAGACTATAGTTCAAACTACAGTTCAGACTTAAATCCTAACTATAGACTAGACTATAGACTACATTATAGACCTACACTATAGACTAGACTATAGACTAGACTATAGACTAGACTATAGACTAGACTATAGACTAGACTATAGACTGGACTATAGACTAGACTATAGACTAGACTATAGACTAGACTATAGACTAGACTATAGACTAGACTATAGACTAGACTATAGACTAGTCTATAGACTAGACTATAGACTAGACTATAGACTAGACTAGACTATAGACTAGACTATAGACTAGACTAGACTAGACTAGACTAGACTAGACTAGACTAGACTAGACTAGACTAGACTAACTAGACTAGACTAGACTATAGACTAGACTATAGACTAGACTATAGACTAGACTATAGACTAGACTATAGACTAGACTATAGACTAGACTAGACTAACTATAGACTAGACTAGACTATAGACTAGACTATAGACTAGACTAGACTAGACTAGACTAGACTAGACTATAGACTAGACTATAGACTATATAGACTAGACTATAGACTAGACTATAGACTAGACTATAGACTAGACTATAGACTAGACTATAGACTAGACTATAGACTAGACTATAGACTAGACTATAGACTAGACTATAGACTAGACTATAGACTAGACTATAGACTAGACTATAGACTAGACTATAGACTAGACTATAGACTAGACTATAGACTAGACTATAGACTAGACTATAGACTAGACTATAGACTAGACTATAGACTAGACTATAGACTAGACTATAGACTAGACTATAGACTAGACTATAGACTAGACTATAGACTAGACTATAGACTAGACTATAGACTAGACTATAGACTAGACTATAGACTAGACTATAGACTAGACTATAGACTAGACTATAGACTAGTAGACTAGACTATAGACTAGACTATAGACTAGACTATAGACTAGACTATAGACTAGACTATAGACTAGACTATAGACTAGACTATAGACTAGACTATAGACTAGACTATAGACTAGACTATAGACTAGACTATAGACTAGACTATAGACTAGACTATAGACTAGACTATAGACTAGACTATAGACTAGACTATAGACTAGACTATAGACTAGACTATAGACTAGACTATAGACTAGACTATAGACTAGACTATAGATTAGACTATAGACTAGACTATAGACTAGACTATAGACTAGACTATAGACTAGACTATAGACTAGACTATAGACTAGACTATAGACTAGACTATAGACTAGACTATAGACTAGACTATAGTCCAAATTATTGACTAAATATAGTCCAAACTATAGTTTAGAGTTTAATGCCAAGTCTAGTCAATTGACTGTAGTTCAGGCTATGGTCCAGACTATAGTCTGACCTATAGTCTAGACTATTGTCTGGACCACAATTTGAATTTTAGTCTGGACTAAAAATTGAACTATAGTCTGGACTATAGTCTAGTTTACAGTTTGGACTATAGTCTAATTTAAGATTGGATTATAGTTTGGACTAGACTATAGTCCAGAATAGCCCAGACTATAGTTCAGACTATAAACTATAGTCCAAACTATGGACTAGTCCCGACTATAGTCAATACCATAGACTAGACTATAGTCCAGTTTATATTTCAAACTATAGTCCAGACAATAGTCAAGATTATATCTCAGGCTATAATCTGCACTATAGTCTATTTTATAGTCTGGAACATATCCTGAGCTATAGTCTGGACTAGAGTTTAGTCAATAGTTGGACTGTAGTGCAAGCTATAGACTATAGTCCAGACTATATTCAATGCTAAAGACTTCACTATAGTCCAGACTATAGTCAATACTATAGACTAAACTATAGTCCAGTCTTTATTTCAAACTATAGTCCACACAATACTCCAGAGTATAGTTCAGACCATAATCCGCACTAGTCTGGTCTATAGTCTGGACTATAGCCTGAACTATAGTCTGAACTATATTCTAGTCAATAGTTGGGACTATACTCTGACCCAGATTATAGTTCAGACTATAGTACAGGGTTTAGATCAAACTGTAAACTAGACTATAGTGGAAACTATATCTCAAAGCTTATATTAAAACAAATTGTAAATTCATCTAAATAAAACTCATTTATTCAATTTTCCCCCTCCCCCTACAAAAATAGAAATTCTCGACTTGGCAGGCTTTTGTCCCATAAATCGTTAAACAATAACTTCGAACAACAACATAAACAAAAATATGTTTAAAATTTAAAAAAAAATTTATGTTTAAAATTTGTAAAATATTTAAATTTATCATTTTAGTTACTTTATAATTTTGAAAACAACAACAGGCTTTAGTTAGGCTTTTATTTAAAATTTAATTTAAAAAAGAATTAAATTTAATACACTGAGAAAAAAAAGTGCACTTAAATTATACAAACACCTAAAATTACTATCTAATAGTTTATTATTACAATAAACCTAAAAGAATAGAAATAAAGAATTTCACTACTCACTTCTAAAAAAAAATAATAATAATAAATGTGTAAAATAACACCAAATTCTATAAAAGCTACACTTCAACAAAATATTTAACAAAATAAACCAAATTTTTCACTAAAGCCACGCCTTTTTTGATAAAAAAAAAAAATATACTTTTTTATTTAATATTTTGATTTCACAAAACCTAAAATAAATTTTATATTAATATCCTAAAAATTTACTTAAACAAAAATTATATAAATAATATTCCTTTTAATGATATAAACAATTTAGTTAAAAAAACAGTTCCATTTTAAATTAAAAACTTACAAAACAGTTTGTTAAACTTTGTATAACAACAAATGGAAAACATTTTAAATGGAACCAGACTTTGTGAACATTTCTTAAAGAAAAAAAACTAGTTCAAATTGTAACTGCTAAATATGACAGTAATCCTTTAGTTTAACTTTATTTGAAAAACTATTCAACTCATGCATAAAAATAAATATCTAGTGTTTGACGTTCAAAACTAGTTAAAAAGGAACAATATTTCAATATTTTTTATTCAAAATACAAATGTTTAATTTATGAAATGATAACAGTTTTCAGAATTTGAAAAAGCAATTTGATAATTAACAGCTATCAAAAGAAAATCAGTTCTAGTTCAGTTCTAGTTCTGTTCTAGTTCAGTTCTAGTTCAGTTCTAGTTCAGTTTTAGTTCAGTTCTAGTTCAGTTCTAGTTCAGTTCTAGTTCAGTTCTAGTTCAGTTCTAGTTCAGTTCTAGTTCAGTTCTAGTTCAGTTCTAGTTCAGTTCTAGTTCAGTTCTAGTTCAGTTCTAGTTCAGTTCTAATTCAGTTCTAATTCAGTTCTAGTTAGTTCAGTTCAGTTCAGTTCAGTTGCAGTTCAGTTCTAGTTCAGTTCTAGTTTAGTTCTAGTTCAGTTCTAGTTTAGTTCTAGTTCAGTTCTAGTTCAGTTCTAGTTCAGTTCTTAGTTCAGTTCTAGTTCAGTTCTAGTTCAGTTCTAGTTCAGTTCAGTTCAGTTCTAGTTCGTTCTAGTTCAGTTCTAGTTCAGTTCTAGTTCAGTTCTAGTTCAGTTCTAGTTCAGTTCTAGTTCAGTTCTAGTTCAGTTCTAGTTCAGTTCTAGTTCAGTTCTAGTTAAGTTCTTCCTCAGTCGTCTAGTTCAGTTTTAGTTCAGTTCTAGTTCAGTTCTAGTTCAGTTCTAGTTCAGTTCTAGTTCAGTTCTAGTTCAGTTCTAGTTCAGTTCTAGTTCAGTTCTAGTTCAGTTCTAGTTCAGTTCTAGTTCAGTTCTAGTTCAGTTCTAGTTCAGTTCTAGTTCAGTTCTAGTTCAGTTCTAGTTCAGTTCTAGTTCAGTTCTAGTTCAGTTCTAGTTCAGTTCTAGTTCAGTTCTAGTTCAGTTCTAGTTCAGTTCTAGTTCAGTTCTAGTTCAGTCTAGTTCAGTTCTAGTTCAGTTCTAGTTCAGTTCTAGTTCAGTTCTAGTTCAGTTCTAGTTCAGTTCTAGTTCAGTTCTAGTTCAGTTCTAGTTCAGTTCTAGTTCAGTTCTAGTTCAGTTCTAGTTCAGTTCTAGTTCAGTTCTAGTTCAGTTCTAGTTCAGTTCTAGTTCAGTTCTAGTTCAGTTCTAGTTCAGTTCTAGTTCAGTTCTAGTTCAGTTCTAGTTCAGTTCTAGTTCAGTTCTAGTTCAGTTCTAGTTCAGTTCTAGTTCAGTTCTAGTTCAGTTCTAGTTCAGTTCTAGTTCAGTTCTAGTTCAGTTCTAGTTCAGTTCTAGTTCAGTTTCTAGTTCAGTTCTAGTTCAGTTCTAGTTCAGTTCTAGTTCAGTTCTAGTTCAGTTCTAGTTCAGTTCTAGTTCAGTTCTAGTTCAGTTCTAGTTCAGTTCTAGTTCAGTTCTAGTTCAGTTCTAGTTCAGTTCTAGTTCAGTTCTAGTTCAGTTCTAGTTCAGTTCTAGTTCAGTTCTAGTTCAGTTCTAGTTCAGTTCTAGTTCAGTTCTAGTTCAGTTCTAGTTCAGTTCTAGTTCAGTTCTAGTTCAGTTCTAGTTCAGTTCTAGTTCAGTTCTAGTTCAGTTCTAGTTCAGTTCTAGTTCAGTTCTAGTTCAGTTCTAGTTCAGTTCTAGTTCAGTTCTAGTTCAGTTCTAGTTCAGTTCTAGTTCAGTTCTAGTTCAGTTCTAGTTCAGTTCTAGTTCAGTTCTAGTTCAGTTCTAGTTCAGTTCTAGTTCAGTTCTAGTTCAGTTCTAGTTCAGTTCTAGTTCAGTTCTAGTTCAGTTCTAGTTCAGTTCTAGTTCAGTTCTAGTTCAGTTCTAGTTCAGTTCTAGTTCAGTTCTAGTTCAGTTCTAGTTCAGTTCTAGTTCAGTTCTAGTTCAGTTCTAGTTCAGTTCTAGTTCAGTTCTTTCAGTTCTAGTTCAGTTCTAGTTCAGTTCTAGTTCAGTTCTAGTTCAGTTCTAGTTCTTTCAGTTCTAGTTCAGTTCTAGTTCAGTTCTAGTTCAGTTCTAGTTCAGTTCTAGTCAGTTCTAGTTCAGTTCTAGTTCAGTTCTAGTTCAGTTATAGTTCAGTTCTAGTCAGTTCTAGTTCAGTTCTGTTCAGTTCTAGTTCAGTTCTAGTTCTAGTTCAGTTCTAGTTCAGTTCTAGTTCAGTTCTAGTTCAGTTCTAGTTCAGTTCTAGTTCAGTTCTAGTTCAGTTCTAGTTCAGTTCTAGTTCAGTTCTAGTTCAGTTCTAGTTCAGTTCTAGTTCAGTTCTAGTTCAGTTCTAGTTCAGTTCTAGTTCAGTTCTAGTTCAGTTCTAGTTCAGTTCTAGTTCAGTTCTAGTTCAGTTCTAGTTCAGTTCTAGTTCAGTTTCTAGTTCAGTTCTAGTTCAGTTCTAGTTCAGTTCTAGTTCAGTTCTAGTTCAGTTCTAGTTCAGTTCTAGTTCAGTTCTAGTTCAGTTCTAGTCAGTTCTAGTTCAGTTCTAGTTCAGTTCTAGTTCAGTTCTAGTTCAGTTCTAGTTCAGTTTCTAGTTCAGTTCTAGTTCAGTTCTAGTTCAGTTCTAGTTCAGTTCTAGTTCAGTTTCTAGTTCAGTTCTAGTTCAGTTCTAGTTCAGTTCTAGTTCAGTTCTAGTTCAGTTCAGTTCTAGTTCAGTTCTAGTCAGTTCTAGTTCAGTTCTAGTTCAGTTCTAGTTCAGTTCTAGTTCAGTTCTAGTTCAGTTCTAGTTCAGTTCTAGTCAGTTCTACTTCAGTTCTAGTTCAGTTCTAGTTCAGTTCTAGTTCAGTTCTAGCTTCAGTTCTAGTTCAGTTCTGACTTCAGTTTAGTTAGTTCTAGTTCTGTTCTGTCTGTTCTAGTCGTCTAGTTCTGTTCTAATTCTGTTCTAGTTCTGTTCTAGTCTGTTCTAGTTCTGTTCTAGTTCTGTTCTAGTTATGTTCTAGTTCTGTTCTAGTTCTGTTCTAGTTCTGTTCTAGTTCTGTTCTAGTTCTGTTCTAGTTCTGTTCTAGTACTGTTCTAGTTCTGTTCTAATTCTGTTCTAGTTCTTTTCTACTTCTGTTCTAGTTCAGTTCTACTTCTGTTCTAGTTCAGTTCTAGTTCAGTTCTAGTTCAGTTCTAGTTCAGTTTCTCAGTTCAGTTCTCAGTTCAGTTCTAGTTCAGTTCTAGTTCAGTTCTAGTTCAGTCCTAGTTCAGTTCTAGTTCAGTTCTAGTACAGTTCTAGTACAGTTCTAGTTCAGTTCTAGTTCAGTTCTAGTTTAGTTCTAGTTCAGTTCTAGTTCAGTTCTAGTTCAGTTCTAGTTCAGTTCTAGTTCAGTTCTAGTTCAGTTCTAGTTCATTTCTAGTTCAGTTCTAGTTCAGTTCTAGTACAGTTCTAGTACAGTTCTAGTTCAGTTCTAGTTCAGTTCTAGTTTAGTTCTAGTTCAGTTCTAGTTCAGTTCTAGTTCAGTTCTAGTTCAGTTCTATTTCATTTCTAGTTCAGTTCTAGTTCAGTTCTAGTTCAGTTCTAGTTCAGTCCTAGTTCAGTTCTAGTTCAGTTCTAGTTCAGTTTTAGTTCAGTTCTAGTTCAGTTCTAGTTCAGTTCTAGTTCAGTTCTAGTTCAGTTCTAGTTCAGTTCTAGTTCAGTTCTAGTTCAGTTCTAGTTCTAGTTCTAGTTCTAGTCAGTTCTAGTTCAGTTCTAGTTCAGTTCTAGTTCAGTTTCTAGTTCAGTTCTAGTTCAGTCCTAGTTCAGTTCTAGTTCAGTTCTAGTCAGTTCTAGTTACAGTTCTAGTTCAGTTCTAGTTCAGTTCTAGTTCAGTTCTAGTTCAGTTCTAGTTCAGTTCTAGTTCAGTTCTAGTTCAGTTCTAGTTTCAGTTCTAGTTCAGTTCTAGTTCAGTTCTAGTTCAGTTCTAGTTCAGTTCTAGTTCAGTTCTAGTTCAGTTCTAGTTCAGTTCTAGTTCAGTTCTAGTCAGTTCTAGTTCAGTTCTAGTTCAGTTCTAGTTCAGTTCTAGTTCAGTTCTAGTTCAGTTCTAGTTCAGTTCTAGTTCAGTTCTAGTTCAGTTCTAGTTCAGTTCTAGTTCAGTTCTAGTTCAGTTTCTAGTTCAGTTCTAGTTCAGTTCTAGTTCAGTTCTAGTTCAGTTCTAGTTCAGTTCTAGTTCAGTTCTAGTTCAGTTCTAGTCAGTTCTAGTTCAGTTCTAGTTCAGTTCTAGTTCAGTTCTAGTTCAGTTTCTAGTTCAGTTCTAGTTCAGTTCTAGTTCAGTTCTAGTTCAGTTCTAGTTCAGTTCTACTTCAGTCTAGTTCAGTTCTAGTTCTGTTCTAGTTCTGTTCTAGTTCTGTTCTAGTTCTGTTCTATTTCTGTTCTAATTCTGTTCTAGTCTGTTCTAGTTCTTTTCTAGTTCTGTTCTAGTTCTGTTCTAGTTATGTTCTAGTTCTGTTCTAGTTCTGTTCTAGTTCTGTTCTAGTTTCTGTTCTAGTTCTGTTCTAGTTCTGTTCTAGTTCTGTTCTAGTACTGTTCTAGTTCTGTTCTAATTCTGTTCTAGTTCTTTTCTACTTCTGTTCTAGTTCAGTTCTACTTCTGTTCTAGTTCAGTTCTATTTCTATTCTACTTCAGTTCTAGTGGTAATCTTATCAAATTTAAAGTGCTTTTTCTACATAATTAAAGCAAAATCTGTTATCCTTTCAAACAAATAACAAAGCAATTACTAAATAAAAATAACAAAAAAAGTAAATAAGGTTTTTCTTTCTTAAATTTATATATTTTTTCTTATTTTTATTATCAGTAAATTTGAAAAAAGAAACGGTTTTGAGAAATTTAGTTTTAATTTTCATTTAATTTAAATTCTTAAAAGTAAAATAATAAAAACAAATCGCGGTAAAAAAGAAAAGCCTACAAAACCATCGAGAATTTGGTAATTTCACGTTTTGTATAGGAGTTTTTTGGTTATGTACAGGAAATGATCGACTGGATGTCCTATCTATCGGTGGTCTCAACACTGGGCTTTGTGGTCTTCTTTGCCGTCGGTCCCGGTTCAATACCCTGGATGATAACGGCCGAACTATTTTCGCAGGGTCCGCGACCAAGTGCTATGGCCATAGCGGTATTGGTCAATTGGATGGCGAACTTTGTGGTTGGCATTGGTTTCCCCAGTATGAAGGTAAACTAGAATTTATAAAATACAAAATTTGATATTTATTATAATTTTTATTTTTGCAGACTGCCTTGGAAAATTATACATTCTTACCGTTTAGCGTTATGTTAGCCATATTTTGGATATTCACCTATAAAAGGTTCCTGAGACCAAAAACAAAACCTTCGAAGAAATTTTGGCGCTATCCGTCATGGAAATGGAAGGTATATTCTTTAACTAATTTTTTTATTTTGTTATTTTCTTTTTAAAAATTATTTCGAATTTTTAAGTTTATTGGTTTGTTTTTTTCGACTATTTAATGAGAACAAAACTTGGAAGTTTTAGATTTTTAGAGATTTTTTTTTTATGATTTAAAGTTTTGTGTTTAATGGTATTGTATTAATACAAATCAGTACTAGTTCAGTACTAGTTCAGTACTTGTTCAGTTCAAGTTAGTTCTAGTGCTAGTTCCTTTCTAGTCAGTTCTAGTTTCGTAGTTCAGTTATAGTTCAGTTCTAGTTCAGTTCTAGTTCAGTTCTAGTTCAGTTCTAGTTCAGTTCTAGTTCAGTTCTAGTTCAGTCTAGTTCAGTTCTAGTTCAGTTCTAGTTCAGTTCTAGTTCAGTTCTAGTTCGTCTAGTCAGTTCTAGTTCAGTTCTAGTTCAGTTCTAGTTCAGTTCTAGTTCAGTTCTAGTTCAGTTCTAGTTCAGTTCTAGTTCAGTTCTAGTTCAGTTCTAGTTCCGTTCTAGTTCAGTTCTAGTCAGTTCTAGTTCAGTTCTAGTTCAGTTCTAGTTCAGTTCTAGTTCAGTTCTAGTTCAGTTCTAGTTCAGTTCTAGTTCAGTTTTTAGTTTTTCAGTTCTAGTTATAAGTTCTAGTTCAGTCTAGTTCAGTCTAGTTCAGTTCTAGTTCAGTTCTAGTTCAGTTCTAGTTCAGTTCTAGTTCTGTTCTAGTTCTGTTCTAGTTCAGTTCTAGTTCTGTTCTGCTGTTTCTGTTCCAGTTCTGTTCTAGTTCAGTTCTAGTTCAGTTCTAGTTCAGTTCTAGTTCAGTTCTAGTTCAGTTCTAGTTCAGTTCTAGTTCAGTTCTAGTTCAGTTCTAGTTCAGTTCTAGTTCAGTTCTAGTTCAGTTCTAGTTCAGTTCTAGTTCAGTTCTAGTTCAGTTCTAGTTCAGTTCTAGTTCAGTTCTAGTTCAGTTCTAGTTCAGTTCTAGTTCAGTTCTAGTTCAGTTCTAGTTCAGTTCTAGTTCAGTTCTAGTTCAGTTCTAGTTCAGTTCTAGTTCAGTTCTAGTTCTGTTCTAGTTCAGTTCTAGTTCAGTTCTAGTTCAGTTCTAGTTCAGTTCTAGTTCTGTTCTAGTTCTGTCTAGTTCGTTTAGTTCAGTTCTAGTTCAGTTCTAGTTCAGTTCTAGTTCAGTTCTAGTTCAGTTCTAGTTCAGTTCTAGTTCAGTTCTAGTTCAGTTCTAGTTCAGTTCTAGTTCAGTTCTAGTTCAGTTCTAGTTTAGTTCTAGTTTAGTTCTAGTTCAGTTCTAGTTCAGTTCAGTTCAGTTCTAGTTCAGTTCTAGTTCAGTTCTAGTTCAGTTCTAGTTCAGTTCTAGTTCAGTTCTAGTTCAGTTCTAGTTCAGTTCTAGTTCAGTTCTAGTTCAGTTCTAGTTCAGTTCTAGTTCAGTTCTAGTTCAGTTCTAGTTCAGTTCTAGTTCAGTTCTAGTTCAGTTCTAGTTCAGTTCCAATTCAGTTCCAGTTCAGTTCCAGTTCAGTTCTAGTTCCGTTCTAGTTCAGTTCTAGTTCAGTTCTAGTTCAGTTCTAGTTCAGTTCTAGTTCAGTTCTAGTTCAGTTCTAGTTCAGTTCTAGTTCAGTTGTTCAGTTCTAGTTCAGTTCTAGTTCAGTTCTAGTTCAGTTCTAGTTCAGTTCTAGTTCAGTTCTAGTTCAGTTCTAGTTCAGTTCTAGTTCAGTTCTAGTTCAGTTCTAGTTCAGTTCTAGTTCAGTTCTAGTTCAGTTCTAGTTCAGTTCTAGTTCAGTTCTAGTTCAGTTTAGTTCAGTTCTAGTTCAGTTTAGTTCAGTTCTAGTTCAGTTCTAGTTCAGTTCTAGTTCAGTTCTAGTTCAGTTCTAGTTCAGTTCTAGTTCAGTTCTAGTTCAGTTCTAGTTCAGTTCTAGTTCAGTTCTAGTTCAGTTCTAGTTCAGTTCTAGTTCAGTTCTAGTTCAGTTCTAGTTCAGTTCTAGTTCAGTTCTAGTTCAGTTCTAGTTCAGTTCTAGTTCGGTTCTAGTTCTGTTCTAGTTCAGTTCTAGTTCTGTTCTAGTTCAGTTTTAGTTAATTTCTAGTTCGGATCAGTTCCAATTTTGGGAATGATTAGATCTTACTAAAGCAAACATATCTGAATATGAAAATAATTAAATTTACGAAATTTGTTAGCATTAATACAGTACCATCTATTTTTCTTAATTTATAGTTCAATTACAAAATTTTAATTTTCTAAAATTTCATTTAGTCGAAGCACTTTATTTAATTTTTATTTCAAATGTTAATTTTATACTTTCCTAATTTAACAATTTTAATAACCCATAACAATTTTTTTATATAAAAAAAACTAACTTTAATTATAAAAAAATTGAAACCATTACCCAACAAACCTTTTTTGATCATAAACTAAAAACAAGAAGGACATTCCGAGATAGTAGACTGTACGGGTAAGTTGCATGATGAACCAAAATAGAAAAAAGTATATGAAAAAAGAAAACCCTGCAATTAACATACAACCCCCATCCCTTTATAAATATTTTTTATATACAAAGCAAATTTTAAAGTTGGTTCTTTTAAACACTTTTCTTTAACAAAGAATTTATAAACATAATAAAAAATAATAATGTTAGTAATAAATATTGTTCTATAAGTAGTTTTTTAAACAAACAAAAAAATGTTAAATAAAATGTGTTCCTTTTAATATGTTTATATCTATATATTTTTCTTAAACAAATACTTTCTTAATGTTATATATAAAAACAAATTATTAATTACATAATTCTAAATACCTGCTATAATTTTGTTTAAATATTTGTTAATTTTTTACAACAAAACAAATTACCAAAAATAATAGTTTCTTGTTATGAATGCTTTGAATGCTACATAAACATTTAAAAATTAAAAAAAAAAATACAATCTTTTATTCTAATCGTTTTGTATCATAAAATTAATTCAACAAAAAAATTACTTTTAATTATACAAAATCCAAATATTTGAAAAAAACTCAAAATTTTCCAAAAACAAATTAAAAATTTCATCATGTTTTCATGTCAAGCGTTTGTTCTTCATGCCTTAACCATTATTAGCTCTATCTCTTCATCATCCTTCGCCTACGTCATCGTCATTTACAACAACAATTACAACAATATTTAATACTAAAAAACAACAATTGAAACAAAAAAGACTTTATTTAATACACTTGATTTAAGTTCAAATTTCTTTTTTGTTTTATTGCCTCTATTTTAAATTAACCAATTTACATTAATATGCGAACCAATCCAACTTTATATTAATAAATTTTGATAATATAATCAAAAGCTTTACTCAGGATTACATAGGCTTCCAGTAAGTTAAGTCATTTTCTTGAACTTATAACTTATTTGCCCCATCCATATCAGTTTTAAACTTGTTCCAGTTTCCCATAGCTCAGGGTGGCGAGTCCATAACGTCCAGTCTCATAATGTCAATTGACTCATAATGTCCACAGACGTTAAGTAACAATTTTGAAAGCTGTCAAGTGTCCATGAGCAATGTGTCATAAAGATCAAGGATTTCCAAAGAGCCATTATCGAAAAAAGCTTAAGTCGGGTATTCGAAATACCCCTGGGCCAAAGGCCGGCTATCCAGTGCTCCATACCTCAGGGCTTGTTTAGCCGTAATTTCTTTTTTTTCTTAGTTTTGTTCTTGTTCTGTTCTAGTTCTGTTCTAGTTCTGTTCTAGTTCTGTCTCTGTTCTGTTATAGTCTGTTTAGTTCTGTTCTAGTTCTGTTCTAGTTCTGTTCTAGTTCTGTTCTAGTTCTGTTCTAGTTCTGTTCTAGTTCTGTTCTAGTTTCTGTTCTAGTTCTGTTCTAGTTCTGTTCTAGTTCTGTTCTAGTTCTGTTCTAGTTCTGTTCTAGTTCTGTTCTAGTTCTGTTCTAGTTCTGTTCTAGTTCTGTTCTAGTTCTGTTCTAGTTATGTTCTAGTTCTTTCTAGTTCTGTTCTAGTTCTGTTCTAGTTCTGTTCTAGTTCTGTTCTAGTTCTGTTCTAGTTCTGTTCTAGTTCTGTTCTAGTTCTGTTCTAGTTCTGTTCTAGTTCTGTTCTAGTTCTGTTCTAGTTCTGTTCTAGTTCTGTTCTAGTTCTGTTCTGTTCTGTTCTAGTTCTGTTCTAGTTCTGTTCTAGTTCTGTTCTAGTTCTGTTCTAGTTCTGTTCTAGTTCTGTTCTAGTTCTGTTCTAGTTCCGTTCTAGTTCTGTTCTAGTTCTGTTCTAGTTCAGTTCTAGTTCATGTTCTAGTCATTTCTAGTTCTGTTCTAGTCTGTTCTAGTTCTGTTCTAGTTCTGTTCTAGTTCGGTTCTAGTTCTGTTCTAGTTCTGTTCTAGTTCTGTTCTAGTTCTGTTCTAGTTCTGTTCTAGTTCTGTTCTAGTTTCTGTTCTAGTTCTGTTCTAGTTCAGTTCTAGTTCTGTTCTAGTTCTGTTCTAGTTCTGTTCTAGTTCTGTTCTAGTTCTGTTCTAGTTCTGTTCTAGTTCTTTCTAGTTCTGTTCTAGTTCTGTTCTAGTTCTGTTCTAGTTCTGTTCTAGTTCTGTTCTAGTTCTGTTCTAGTTCTGTTCTAGTTCTGTTCTAGTTCTGTTCTAGTTCTGTTCTAGTTCTGTTCTAGTTCTGTTCTAGTTCTGTTCTAGTTCTGTTCTAGTTCATTTCTAGTTCTGTCTAGTCTGTTCTAGTTCTGTTCTAGTTCTGTTCTAGTTCTGTTCTAGTTCTGTTCTAGTTCTGTTCTAGTTCTGTTCTAGTCTGTTCTAGTTCTGTTCTAGTTCAGTTCTAGTTCTGTGCTAGTTCTGTTCTAGTTCTGTTCTAGTTCTGTTCTAGTTCTGTTCTAGTTCTGTTCTAGTTCTGTTCTAGTTCTGTTCTGTTCTGTTCTAGTTCTGTTCTAGTTCTGTTCTAGTTCTGTTCTAGTTCTGTTCTAGTTCTGTTCTAGTGCTGTTCTAGTGCTGTTCTAGTGCTGTTCTAGTTCTGTTCTAGTCTGTTCTATTCTGTTTCTAGTTCTAGTTCTGTTCTAGTTGCTGTTCTAGTGCTGTTCTAGTTCTAGTTCTAGTTCTAGTTCTAAGTTCTGTTCTAGTTCTGTTCTAGTTCTGTGCTAGTTCTGTTCTAGTTCTGTTCTAGTTCTGTTCTAGTTCTGTTCTAGTTCTGTTCTAGTTCTGTTCTAGTTCTGTTCTAGTTCTGTTCTAGTTCTGTTCTAGTTCTGTTCTAGTTCTGTTCTAGTTCTGTTCTAGTTCTGTTCTAGTTTGTTCTAGTTCTGTTCTAGTTCTGTTCTAGTTCTGTTCTAGTTCTGTTCTAGTTCTGTTCTAGTCTGTTCTAGTTCTGTTCTAGTTCTGTTCCAGTTCTGTTCCAGCTCTGTTCTAGTTCTGTTCTAGTTCTGTTCTAGTTCTGTTCTAATTATATTCTAGTTCTGTTCTCAGTCCAATCTAGTTCTGTTCCCGGTCCAATCTAGTTCTTTTCTAATTCTGACTAATTTCCGTTGTTAGCCATTTGAATATATCTTAAGTAAATTGTAATACTTTTATTTTAACTTTATTTTGTAAATTAATTTTTATTTTATTTATTTATTTCCTTAATTTAGCAATGAATCCGACACAAGTAAATCCACTGAAGATATTGAAATAACTCCACGTAATTCCATAGCAGAACAGTCCAAATCGCACAATTCTTGATTTATTTCTCTTATATCTTAATTTTTATTATTTAGTTATATTTAAGTTATTGTTTCTTACATATTTTTATTGTACTTATTATCAAAATTTTAAATTTTTTATAATTTTTGTAATTTTTTCTTTTTTATATTTAAATAAATAATTTTGAACTCTAAAAAGAACTTCCAAGTATTTAGTATAAAAATTGTTTTTAGTTTAATTGAAAAAGTATTTTATTTGTGATAATAAAAAGTAAGTAAAACTGTTTAGTATGAAGATTTAATTAGGGGTAAAATTGAAGTATGTTTGAAATTTACCAAAAGTATTTAAAGATAAACGGATTTATTCGAAAATATTCTCTTAATGGATTTACTTTCGATTGGAATTATTACACATAGAATTAAATAATTTGTAATAATTCCAAATACATATTATTAGCGTATTTCTAAATAAGTTAGGTTTCCAATAATTGTTACATTTTATTTGGGTTTAAAGGGCTTTCAAATCAAATCTACAAATAAATAACTATTTCCTTAAAGCTTTTCTCTATAAATATTTTTGGTAAATTCTCAAATGTATTTTCTTAAAATTTTTCTAATGTTTTGCAAATAAAATTTATTAAAAAAAAATATTACAAAAACAAACAAAACAAAAAAAATACCCATACAATTTAAAACATAATCGTAGAGTGTGCGAATTTCAGGAGTATGCTAAACTGCACAAATAGTTTGGAGCCACAAAGTATGAATTCGGGCATCGAACATGCCGCCCTTATGGTATCTGAGGAGAAGACCCAACATGATTCACGTAAGACAATATTTCTATTCATAATCATTAACCAAATCAAAAATATATTTAAAATCTCTATATATAATTTATTTTTTTGTTTTTGTGTAGTTAAACAAAATTTATGTTATCTTCTAATACTGAAATTATTGAAATAAAAAAAAAAACAAATTAACAAACTACTAACACCCTTTTTAATCCAAAAACGAAATTGTTATTTGTCTGAAATAAAAACACTTATATTTTAGTTTACACAAATTTTCTTATTTATAATATTTTTTATTTCCTGAATTGACAATTATTAAACGTTTTAACAACTTATTAAAGAACATTATTTTTTTATGAAAGTAATAACAAACAAAATTGTCAACTAAATGTCAAACACACAAAACACAACTTAACATGTCAATGTCATCACTCATTAATCATTTAACAAACTAATTAAATCTATCAATCATCCAGTCATTATTAAGCATTTTGTTGTTTCATTAGTTTAACTTGTTTATAATTATTTATAGTTTCTTAGTTTCAAGATAAAATGCATTAAAAGGTTTAAAAGTTTACATTGAAATTCAAAAATTGCAGCAGAAAAAGTTCTAGTTCAGTTCTAATTCAGTACTAGTTCAGTTCTAGTTCAGTTCTAGTTCAGTTCTAGTTCAGTTCTAGTTCAGTTCGAGTTCAGTTCTAGTTCAGTTCTAGTTCAGTTCTAGTTCAGTTCTAGTTCAGTTCTAGTTCAGTTCTAGTTCAGTTCTAGTTCAGTTCTAGTTCAGTTCTAGTTCAGTTCTAGTTCAGTTCTAGTTCAGTTCTAGTTCAGTTCTAGTTCAGTTCAGTTCTAGTTCAGTTCTAGTTCAGTTCTAGTTCAGTTCTAGTTCAGTTCTAGTTCAGTTCTAGTCAGTTCTAGTTCAGTTCTAGTTCAGTTCTAGTTCAGTTCTAGTTCAGTTCTAGGTCAGTTCTAGTTCAGTTCTAGTTCAGTTCTAGTTCAGTTCTAGTTCAGTTCTAGTTCAG